GCATTCCTTCTCATGACTCACCCAGAGGAACCCTCTGATCCAGTGGACAAAGACGAGGACACGACATGGAACAAACAACGTCCAAACACGGATTCAATTAGGATGAAAACGCAGAAGATTTTTGCGTTTTTTCCAAGAAGTTTTTGACTTTTTTTTTTATATATATATATATATTTACACCATCCCAGGTTGATGTTTGATCTCGCGGCTCTGACTAAACCTCTCCATCATGGAGGACGGACTCGTTGCCAAGCGCTGAAGTAAATCTGTTGATTTACCTCACAAATATTTACCCAGATCTGCTGCTCCTGAAGCAGAGACGGCTCACGGAGCGCTGTTAGCTTACAGATGCTGACAAACCGTGTTGTTGCTCCGCGTGAATAATGGAGTTCTATTTGGCAAAGTATTTGTTTGGGTAATGATTCTGTTTTATGGCCATGGAGATAAGCACACAGCTGACTGCAGAGAAGACACAGACACAGACACAGACACAGACCAGCACTGGTCTACACAGCTGCCTCACTGGATACCCAAGAACCCCCCCCAGCGCCCCCCCCTCCTTTATATGGATGGACCACACCTGGAAGGTCAGGACTTTAAGACCAAACTGAGCCGCATTTTTAAGGTGGAACGTGTTGAAAGCGTGAGATCAGAACAGAAAGCTTGTTTCAAACAGTCGTGGTGGTTTAGTGTCTGCTGTTACAGCGCTCCCTACTGGGAGAAAGACTTTTTAAGAAATATCATCACCAGTGCACTGCAACATGAAACTGTTCCCAACAGGTTTTGGAAAAGCCGGGAAAAACCTGCGGTTTTCTGACCGGTTGCTAACGGCGTTCAGGAATAGTAGTAGATTTTTCTACATATTTGACAAAAAAAAAAAAAGATTCCCACCAGGGGGGGCTGTAATCAGTAACTGACAGAACCTCGGACTGACTCTGGGTCAGAACAGTTGAACTCACCGGGACTTCGATCTTGATGAGCGCTAAGTCGGACTTCTCATCCACGTCTTTGATTTTTGCGTCGTAGATGGCGCCGCTCTTCAGCTCCACCTTCACTCTGTGTTTATTGGCTACAACGTGAGCGTTGGTCACAATCTGTCCGTCTTCGGACACGACAAACCCCGACCCACTGGACACTGCCACCTCCCGCTTGGTGTAGGTCATCCTGAGGGAGGGAGACGAAGAAGAAGTGATGATGGCGTGATGACATCACAGCTGTGTTGACGTCAGGTAGAGCAGTGTTTGAAGAAGGGAAAGATTTTTTTTTTCCTTAAAACTAAAGTGTCTTCACAACAGACAGAAAGTTTAGGAAAATGAACTAAATTAGTGTTGATTTTATTGATATCAAAAATCAAGATATTGAAAATATAAAACGTCATTTTTTTGGTAAAAAGCTTTTTTTCTTTTAAAATTTTAAAATGATGTCAAGTAGTTTTAAACTTTATTTAACTTGGAATTCCCCTTGAAATTAAAACTGTTTCTGCAACTACACACAAAAAAAAAAACAAAAACAGAAAAATACCAACTTGTTGTGCAGTGTCAGTGTCTACAGGCCTAGACCGCTGTGGGAGTGGTTGTTGTTTTTCTGATTCAGGGCTATTTGTCTGTTTTTTCTGAAAAAGTTTTTGTTGTCTACATATATTTTTTAATTTCCTTCAGCAGAGATCTGTCGGTCGTTTAAATATTTTGCTTTTTGTTTTCCAGATTGTTAATGGCCGACAGCCCAAACTTCTTTACAGTTACTTCGTTCCCTGCTCATACGTAGAACGGTGGTCATGTGACCCGACTTCACCATCTGCTGTATCACCACAGCTTCAGTCTGGAAACCTGAGAGCTGCGACGTTTTCTTGGTTTCTGGGAATGTGTCAATCACACAGGTGGGCTGTAAACATTCAGTCTGACTCACACACACACACACACTCACACACACACACACACGTGTGTGTATTCCTTACTTGCGGTAGAGTTCAATATGAACTACAGACGGAGCAATTTTCTCCACCACGTCTGCGATGAAGTTGTATTTGTGTCTGGGGCTGTCTGGGTCGTCCTGAGCTGGAAACACAAGACACGCAGACGAGGAAGTCAGAAGAGTGGAAACAAACAAACAAACAAACAAACAAACAAAAGAAGGAAGGACACAGCAGCGTGCGGCGTGACGTCACCAGCGAGTCGGATGACGCTCCACCTGCGGTCCAGACCGTCTCGGTCACATCTGACCCACATGTAGGCACCGCTCGTTTGCAAACACTTCTCAAACTCAAACTGGTGAATTCTGCTCATAAACACTGAGCCTTTTCACCCTGTTCTTAGACTGAAGGCATTAGGACTAACCCTAAAAGTCCGCTGGAATATATGATATATATATATTTATATATATATATATATCATATATTATATATATTATATAACCCAAACCATATATTATATATATATATATGATATATATGATATATATGATATATATGATATATATGTATATAAGTAAGAGACTTAATTAAATATTTAAATATAAAAAAAAAAATTAAAATCTGAACATCTACATACGTCACACCGTTCTAGGTTTGAAAGAAGAATGTTTAAAGACTTGGAGGAGGTAGCAGTTGTAGTTACCACTTTGGGCCACACGAGGTCAGTGAAGTCTAGGGAAGGTTTAACGTCAACACAGAAACTGAACAGTGCGACAGCATGTGGAATGAATCAGTCGGTTACAGCTGTTGAACTACTGACTCATGAAAACTGGATCTGACAGGATCTGAACCTGACTTTAGTTTAAAGCAGTCAGAAAAACTCTCCTCACTGACGATGACAGAAACGGTTCCGAACAGTACCGTGTTCCTACGGTACTGTTTGTGTTGAGTGGACTGGTTCTGGACCTGGATCTGGATCTGAGACCATCCTGTGTTCCACAGCCCAGGAATCTCAAACCAATCGTTGGACGCAAATTCCAAAATTTCTTTCAGCAGCGTTTGGCTTCAGCTCAGCTCATTTGTGCTCCTGGTGGTTGGTGGTTATTTTTGTGAGGAATGTCGTAAGAAAGAGAATTTAAGGACTCAGGTTTCCCTCCATGTGTACTTTACTGCCCCCCCCCACCCCCACTCCACTGTAACATGATGGCGGGCGGCGCCCAGCACAAACGCTGCCACGGTGAGAGAGACGTGATGATGAATGGAGGCCGGTGGTGACAGTGAGGAAGAAACGTGTGATGATAAATCACAGGTTTCTTACAGCTGAGAAACATTAGAAACCACAGAGAGTTGACTTTACAGCTGAGCTGGTACAAAAAGACGGAGAGGACGGAGAGGACGGAGAGGACGGAGAGGACAAACTGAAAAACAGCTGTTTCCTCTCAGGCCAAAAAATGACTAACTCACCCGTGACGCTCAAGTCATGAGTGTGTCTGCGTGTGTCTGCGTGTGTGTGTGTGTGTGTGTGTGTGGGGAGGGAGAGGCTAAATGTAAAGCTTCCTCACTCACATACTGTGTGAACTGCACTTTTGCAGCTGCAGCAACCCTCTCCCTCCCTCCCCTCCTTCCCTCCTTTCACAGAATCGTCTGCATAGATGATGACCCTCTTTAAAGCTCTTTCCTTGTCACCAGTTTTTACAAGGTTTTTTCTTTAAAAAAAAAAAAAGGTTAAAGTTTTATGGTCAGTGAATTATATAGAACATTGAGTCTTTTTTTTTAAACATTTTCTTTAGCATATACCTAAGAGTTAGAGGTCTCTAAAGATTGACGAGGCTGTAAAACGTATAAAACCAAACGGTAAACACATGCCGTGTCCAACCAGCAGGGGTTTACAGCAGGTTTTACAACATTAAACTAGGACGTTTATGGTCCAGTGGGGGCAGTGTTGTATTTCTGAACAGGCGTCCATGAGTGGAGTGGGAATCTGAATGCCCGATATTAGCATAACTGTGTAATATCTGTAAGAATCTTTTTTTTTTTTCTACGTTAATGAAAACCCGATAACGCAATACCGTGTGACCTAAAAATAGTTTGGGGGAAAAACAGCTGTAATGAAAGCGAAAAGCCACTAGATGGCAGTATAACAGCTCATTCTATAAATCTAAATAATTGAGAATCACTGATATAACCATCACCTTAGTGAGTGGGGGCGCAATTTACTTCCTGAACCACCAGGACGCCACTGACCCGCAGATCAGTATTGGTTGATGTCGGAAATGTTTGGACAAAATCGGCAAAAAGTTCATATCGGACATCCCTAATTTTATGTCTACGTCTTGTAGCTGTACAAATCGTTTCTCCTCAGGGATCAACGAAGGATTTTTGAATTTTTTTTTTTTTTTTGGGACAAACTGACTCACGTTATTTCCCAAAAAGCAGATTTTCATTTCCTTTAATTTTCGGTCAAACTTTGACAGTTTTCACTGACTCATCCTGTTTGTGTATAAATGACTCACTGACAGCGTCCCACAGTACACAGCACTACTGTGACGCTGTTGTCTGAAAACGTTATAAAGACAAACTCCAAGATCATCATCATCATCTTCATCATCATCATCATCATCTGAGTGGAACGCTGAATAAGTCCAACTTTTCCAGCGCTCAGTTTGGCTTCTGTGGCGTTTCAGCTCAGCCTGAACCCAAAGAAATGAGTTTTTCCACCGAGGACCTCGTCCTGGAGAAGGAGGAGCGGCTACCGTCAGTCGGAAAGTTCTCAGACAGAAGTGTCTCAGCTGTTGTTCACCCTGCTGGTCCTGGAGTTAAACTGAAACAGAATCTACTTCAGCGCCTGACGGAACATGGACACCATGTCACAGCACGACTGCTGTAATAACTGAAGAAAAATGATTCGATAGAATCCAAGGTTCACAGAAAAAACTGTAAATCTAAAAGTAAAAAAACCCAAATATATATATATTTGTTTTATTTTTTTCTGACAGTTTGCTCTTATTCTTAGTCTGACTTCACATTCTTTTTCTTTTGCACCAACGTTGGTGATGAAGACTCGTTGAACTGGGTCAGGACATCAATCAGTTTAACATTAGGAACAGAACAGAGGAGAAATACACGTGTGTCTGAGAACTTTTCGACTGAGACTTACACCCACGCACGGTGACGGGAGTTTGGGCCGAGGCTGAAGCAGCAACTATAAACAGACAACAGCTTCACATTTCCACTTCAGGTTTGGACACCGAGGAAAGTTCCAGTTCCAGTTCCAGTTCCAGTTCCAGTTCCAGTTCCAGTTCCAGTTCCAGTTCCAGTTCCAGTGGAGTGGAGTGTGTTCTGTTAGCGAGACAGAACGGAACCAGAACAGAGCCGCGTCTCCACCAGAAAGAAGAAGTCAGAAGAACCGCACTCTGTGAGCAGGAAGAAGAGGAGATGAAGAAAACAGACGTGCAGAGACAGGAGACGGACGCTCCTCCAGATCTGACTGCACCAAGACCAAGATTTTAATATTCTGAGGGGCTGAGACAAGTTGGAGGAAGAATGTGCTGAGTCTGCATCCTGAGTCTGCAGTCTGAGTCTGCATCCTGAGTCTGCAGTCTGAGTCTGCATCCTGAGTCTGCAGTCTGAGTCTGCATCCTGAGTCTGCAGTCTGAGTCTGCATCCTGAGTCTGCAGTCTGAGTCTGCATCCTGAGTCTGCAGTCTGAGTCTGCATCCTGAGTCTGCAGTCTGAGTCTGCATCCTGAGTCTGCAGTCTGAGTCTGCATCCTGAGTCTGCAGTCTGAGTCTGCATCCTGAGTCTGCAGTCTGAGTCTGCATCCTGAGTCTGCAGCCTGAGTCTGCAGCCCGTAAAATGATAATAGAAAGTAATAAGAAAATTTGGACAAGTCGGGCGGGTCGGATTAAAAAGCCAAAGGGGACCGCATCTGGCCCTCGAGCCATAGTTTGCCCATGACTGGGTGTGACCTGAAGACGACTGTTCTGACTGTTTCGTCGGCAGCGTCCAGTGAACGTTGTGTCGAACGAAGTCGGGACTGAAGTTGGAAGAAGTTGTGAAACTGAATCTGTCAGTGAAAACGTTTTCACACATGAGAACCGTGGCGCGCTGACGGGACGGGGGTCCCCTGTGGACATCTGCAGGTCCTGATACTCCACCATGATCTGACCTACTTTGATGTACTACAGTAGTACAGCGTAGAGTCCAGACACAGGCTGACATCATGTTTTCTTTCACCCAGGCTGGAGTTTATTTTGGGCGGCTGTGATCACTGCGTCTCCCTGTGGAGGTGATCCACCAAAAAAAAGAGCAGATGCTGGAGGTCGTTCCAAAGATCATCACTCACCGACCACTTAGAGTTTTAAAGAGCAAATTTAATGTGACGGCTTTTACTGCACCCAGGGACATTTTCCCTGCGAGCTTCGGAAAATCAATAGCCCCCGCCGCAGCGCCGCTCCACTTCAGATAGACCGTGGTTAACGATCGAGGGAAAAACCTGACCATTTAAGTTGCTTACATGACTGACAAACAACTGTGGCCGTACAGTCGGCCACGCCGCCGCGCCCACACCGGGTTTGATGTACACAAACCTTCTCCCCAAAACACAGGTTTCTAATTTAGACTTCTGCTCCGTGTCGTCGCCTGTTTTAAACTGTGTTCACAAAAGGAGGAGCCGTGGAGGAGAAAAGGCTGCCAGGAGTTCCTTCATGGAACAGTCGGAGTGTGATGGATGAGCAAGAAGAAGAAGGAGGAGGAGGAGGAGGAGGAGGAGGAGGAGGAGAGAGATGTTAGGAGAAAGAAAAAGGTTCAAGACCTAGTTCTGAACGAAGCTAAAACAAAACGCCGCCTCTAGAACTAGTTATTCAGTTAACTAATGTTTCTATTTAGTTGGTTTTTTTGTCACATTTTTTAGTTTTTTTCTGAAGAAAAAAAAGTATTTTCTAAGATAGACTTTAATGGCTATCTGCCAGTGGAGGAGGGAGAGGAGGAGGAGGAGGAGGAGGAGGAGGAGGAGGAGGAGGAGGAGGGCGGTGTTACACTTCTGAACTCTTCATTCAAAGGTTTTCACACTGCAGATGAACACACACACACACACACACACACACACACTGTACTGCACTGAATAGAGATGTGATGTCTTCACCACCTGTGGTCTCACGTGTGTTCCAGTCTGACAGTTTTAACACACACACACACACACACACACACACACACACATCCAGAGTGTGTGACGATGAACATGTCTCAGTGACGTCACTGCAGGACTAGTTCACTGTAATTCTTTTTTATTCTTTTTTTTTAAATAACGACGGCTCCTCTAACCCTGTTTTCCTCTTGCTTGCTAACAGCAAAACAACAAAGAACCTCCAGGTTCGTTAGTCGTCAGCGGTTCTGTCCAGAACTACGGTTCTGTTTACGTCCTGACAGACAAAAACAACGCTCCTGAGCATCACTGTCTTCTTTCACGTAAACCCAACGAGAACAAGGATTGACAAGTGGAACTGTGACTGACCCCTGTCTGCATCATCCTGTAACTACCTCATACGTTTGTCTGTGTTTTGACCCTGCCACTTGAACTTTGACCTCAGTGCACGATCAACCGTCACACAGTTTCCCTTCACGGGAACCAGAAATTGGTCTCAGATTTCTGGAGCGCGCTGTGTAATTAAATCACAGCTGGAAGACGTGAGGTTTTTCTCGTGCTCCGACTAAAAGGTATCAGATGTTAGAAATGATTTCAGCTAAGATTCTGCAGACGACACAAACAATCAGCCTGATCCAGATCAAGTCAAACCGGACCCTGGTCAGGTTTACAGGTTTGGGGCCGGGGGTCAGTGGCTTCTCCGATTAAGTCTTAAAACGAAGCAGGAATAAAAAAAAACGGGAACGCAATTAGTCGAAGGAACTGTTGTCTTAAACACAGGGGAATTATGGGCCGTGAACGCAGCCGCTCCGAGCTGTGGTCCGTGTTTAACAGCAGCTCTGGTAATGGACTGGAGGTGAACGAAAACACAAACAGGAAGTCACAGGCACCGCCAAACCAGGCTGCGGTGAGAACGCAGCAGTAAAAACATGAGGATCGGTCGACGCAGGAACAACGTGAAAACAGAGCGAAGTCCAAACGGTCGAACCATGTTCTGGTCTCAGACCTGCAGCGGAGTCAACGCTTTTCACAGAACCAGAGTTGGACCACAGTGACCTCATGGGTTTATTAGGCCGAGTGTTTGACTGGGAAACTATTTCTAACCACTTTTTTTTTTTTTTTTCTGTGAATTTCTGTGGCGTTCTGGATCCTGTGAGCTAACCTTTAGCTGTTTCAGGTTAGCATGTTGTCTTTTGGTTTCATTTATTTTAATAAATAAAAATGTAACATTGAGTAACACAACACTCAACAAAACACAAAACAGTTTTTTGTTGTTGAATTTGCATTGGTTTTTGGCTAACATTTAGCCAATTTTATGCTATGCTATTATTAGTCTTTACAGCTTGATTATTAGCTGTTACGCTAAGTTTTACTTTCAGTTTCTGAGATCAATGGAAACGATGTTTGTTGTTTTTCTGTCTTTTAATTATGTTCTTAACTGATTCTAATAAATATATAATAAAAGTTAATTTTATTATTATTAATGTCTGTTTTTATCTAAATCTAATCTAATGTTTTTTTTTGTTTTTCGCTAATGTTTAGCTACTTTGTCCGCGCTTTTTGCCGCCTAACTTTTTAGCAAACTTTTTTCTAGCGGTAGCCATATTTAGCCTTGTGGTTAGCTTCTTTAAGACATCGCCGAAATTTTGCACTTTTTTCTAGCCTCGTGGTTAGCTACTTTAAGACAACAAACTTTTGTTAGCAGGTATTAAAGTGTTTAATTAATAATCATAAAATTAAATTAATAACATATTATTATGGATTTGAATGGACATTTTCAGACACCGATGCCCTTTGACCTTTGAGGACTTGAACATGGCTGTTTTGTTTGGTGTAATGACCCGACCCTGCCGTCCAGCACCACAGCCCGCGGGCCTTACCTTTTCCACAGGCTCCTCTCTGGATGAAGAGCACAGGTGGCTGCTGCAGCTTCTCGGCTCTGCGGCTCACCCTCTTCAGCTCACAGATGTTCCGGTACGACACTCCGTCGCTGCCGCACACCGGCTCCGTGGCTTTGCACACGCACAGCCCGTTCTTGCTTCTCCTCCTCACCGTCGCACTGTACCCCACTCCGCCGGAGATCGAACACTCCAGACCCTCTCCGCACACCGGGTCCCCGAGCTTCCCGGTGCCGCCGCAGGCTTCGCCCTCTCCGGACGCGCACACCGAGCAGCAGTGGCAGGCGTCGAGGGTCTGACCCTCGGCACAGTCGGCCGGGAGCCGCGGACACAGAGTCCTGTCACAGCGAGCGGGACATCCGACAATGTAGCGGCTGGAGGTCTGCGCATCAGCCGGCGAGGACGCCCCGGCCAGGGCTACGGTCAGCAGCAGGGACCAGAACATGACTGAAGGGCAGACGGTTCGGTGTGAACCGGGTGGAAACAGAGTTCTGAGGAGTTGAAGAAGTTTCCCGCGGGTCGACGGTGTGACGGGATGAGCGGTCGGGGAGCAGTGCAGCGGGAGGAGGAGGAGGAGGAGGAGGAGGAGGAGGAGGAGGAGGAGGTGCCCGAGCCCTGGAGAGGCTTCCACCACAAACTTCACTGCGCAACCAATTACGCGTCGGTGCGTTTTTTCGCTGGCATGGGTTCAGAGAAGGGAACCACAACAAGGCTGCTGATTGGCGGAGAGGGCAGTGACGTAGTGGACGGAGGAGCTGCTTTTCTGCTTTGTCCCGATGATGTGTCTTCAGAGACTGAAAAGAAAAAAACAAAGATGTCAGATCATCTCTGCTTGTTGGAGAATTCTTTTCTTCTTCTTCTTCTTCTTCTTCTTCTTCTTCCTGAGGAAGAGGGAAAGGTCACAAAGGTCAAGGTCTCTGAATTCTGCTCTGAAAAGACCCGACGTCACTGATTGGTCCAGATATATATATATTTTTTTGCATGAATTTTGAATCATTAAAAAAAAAACCATGAGACTTTAATTATGGATCGTAAATATTTTTTTCCCACAAACCTCGATCACATGTGGCTCCACCCAGTGGAAATAAATAAAAACAACTTTAGCTGCAGTCGGAGAAGTTTGTCACGTCAGATTTGCTGTTAACTAGTTTCAGTTTTAACAACATGTTACAGTACTTCTTAGAGTTTCAAAGTATTTGGTTCAACGACAGGTATTTGTTTTGTACCTGGGTGCTGGATATTACTGTGTTTTTAAGTACTTTTACTTCAAGGAGAATTCTTGTTTTCACATTTTGGCCAAAATGAGGTTCAAAATTTGACAGAAGGAATGACACTTGATTGACGTCAGTCTTTACTACACCTTGTACCAGTGTTTGATGGGCCGGAGAGGAAAGCCCAGTGTGCTGTATCTGGCCCACGGGCCATAGTTTGTACTACTCTGTACTCACTGTGGTGATGTTAAAGTATCTCCAGGATCTCCACCGACCTCCTCCTCCTCCTTCTTCTTCTTCTTCTCTTTGTTTTTTTTTTTACTCTCACTAATAAATTAGTCACTACTGGAGCCTGCACTCGCTTTATGGCTAATTAGTGATGAGAGCGGAGAGTCGGGGTGGATGATGGGAGTTGTGGGCTCGCTGTGGCTCTTCGTCGTCGTCGTCGTCCTCACAAACGGCCACATTTGTCATAAAGGGAAAACTGTTGGAGGAGAGCGTTTGATCAGCGATGATGATCTAATCCCAGCTCCGCGGGTTATAAATGGGGAATAAACAGCCTGTAATGGTGATATCTAAATAATGACAAACATGGGCTCAGATGGAACTAATGCTGATGCCTCTGTAATCGGTTCTGTCACAGGCACGCAGCAAAACAAACACGGCCGAGTCGTCTCAAAATGGCGTCTTAATTACAAACGTTAAAAACAACCAACGTGTGAAAGGTTTGAAAAATGGGAATTCCCTGGGAAACTGGGTTTGGAGGTTTTTTATTTGTTTTTCACATGTACATCGTTAATTTAAAACAACAACTTTTTTTTTTTTCCTGCTGGTTTGTTTTTCTGTTTTTCTTTCAAACTTTCTGATGTTTATCTGTGTTTTATTGTCGTTTCGGTTCATTATTCATGTTTTTGTCGACAAACTTTGATCTGTTTTTCTTCTCGTGTCTGTGTTTGATTATTGTTTACAAACTTTGCTCTCATTTTAGGTTAACTTTGTTTTTTGTTTTTTGTCCTCGTTGTTCTTTCTGGTTAACTTTTAACATCTTATCATTAGCTGTTGATGCATTTTTTTAAATTCAATTTAATCTCATTTCTGGCTATTTTCATTAGCTTCGGGCTAACGTTTAGCTTCTCTTGTCTTTGATTAATTTTCGCAGCCAGACTTTTCTAATTCAAACACACATTCCTTCGACAGTTTGAATGCAGACTTTTCTACTTCGTAGCTAACAGCAAACACACATTCCTTCGACAGTTTGAAATAAAATGAACTTCTCGGTCGACGTGGCATTTTTATGATCGACGTAAACTTTACATTTCAGGACATAAAAGCGTGCGTTTTAGCGGCGTCACCTGACACTTCAGCCCGAGACCTGCTGACATGGGTGTTCTATAAAAACTGCAGAACAATTTGACTGATTACACGTCCGTGTTTGTCTGGTCCGGCCTCGGGCCCAGTGTGGAGTCCCTCTGGCCCCCCTGTGGTTCTGGAGCTGTGTTTAACACAGACGTCTGTGTCCAACAGGCAATTAGAAAAGTGGCAAAAAAAAGGGGGACAGCCGGGGCAGACGATTGGCTGAGGAGAACAGTGTGCACAATCACACGTCTGTTATCCAGAAACTCATCGTCGTCGTTTCGTAGCCACCGTCGTCCCGTCGCTGCATAACTTCACACACAGCCAACTACAGGACGAGCAGGAACTTCCTGTGTAATCAGACCCCACGTCACTGCCGTACACTGAGGGGGTGGGGGGGGGGATGGTGGGAAAATGTTCCGATGAATTACTCCTCATCTGTTGAGGAACACCCGGCCTCCGACCAGAAGCGGCAGGAACATCCAAGGACGGATCCCACAGAGGTCTGTGTGATCTCTGAACTCCAGACTGCGTCCACGTCTGTTCACGCCTGAAGCCACACCAAAGACCCACGTCCTCCGGAGCAGTGCTGCGATTGGTTGGGAAAGTGACACGGGCGTGAAGACGAAGATGAAACATCTGGTTTCCTCTTCCTGTTTTCGTTATTCCTCACTCCAAGAAACTGAATGAAACAGAAGAAGGGAAGACGGTGGATCAGTGGGTCAGAGACTAGGGGGTTTGAGGGTTCAACGCCACCTTACAATCGTTCCAATTCTTTTCAGATTCACGTTCAGAAGAAGAAGAAGTGAGGAGTAACCTACTCTAACTGAATCTGAATCTGCTCTGGTAAAAATGTTGGCAAACAAAAAAATTACTCTTCTCCAAATTTGATGATTAATTATTATTATCAAATAAAATAAATACATATATAATATTTATTATAATTATTTTTTGTAGAAAGAAATGCAGTGTAGTTGAAAACAGCTGTGTTTACCAGTAGAGTCCATGGTTTATGAAATAAAAAAAATCCAGAATGCTGTTTTTCATCATCCAGTTCTTATCAAGTCCCTCGTCGACACCAACCATCAATAATGTGTCACTCACAGAAACACAGGCCCAGAAAATGTCACAGGATTCAATTAATGACCTCCCTCTATATGAACACACACACACACACACACAGTCTGCAGAAACCTAAATAAATCATCAGTGCTCAAGAAAATGAAAACACACTCTGAATTCTGTATTTACTGTGGAGTACATGTCAGTGCAGTACTTTTTTCCACGTGTACTTCAATACTGTAGTTGTACTACAGTATGTCTAAGGTTTACTTTTAAACTCTCTGTTGCTGTTTTTCTTGTCTCCACACTTTCCCCCCCTTGAGCAGTGGTTTCAAAGCGGGAAATATAGCCCTCCCCCAGGGGGCGCCAGAGCACTTCAGAGGAGGCGTGAAGAAAGTTTCCACATTTGTTTGAGGTTGTGGACAGTAACAGCTACAAAGATGAGCGCCTCCCATCGGGGGGCGCCAGAGAGCCACATATGGGACACGACGGTACACAGACAGAATTGAAGTTTCAATCTACACAGACCGTTGTAGTCTAGATGACCGTAACGACCAGTCTACACTGGACTGTATTCACATCCATTTACAGACCGTTCTTCGTCACACGTCTGTGATTCCCACGGCGTCATTTCAGAAAGCAGGAAGTGTCGGAGACACAGACTCCGAGTTCCTCTGGAAACTCATCCTCAGTCACCTCACCACCGCATTAGGACAGTATAAATACACCTCCTGTCAGTACCCTGTACTTAAAATACTCAGTACTTTAAATACTCTGTTCAGCCTAGAGAAGAAGGACGGTTCAGGGACGGTGTGGAAACGAACCCTGAACCTTTTACTTGTCAGGTAGGAACCCTACGTCACGCTACTACCTCACCGCTCACCACTCAACAAACTTTCAACTCTTATACTGAGAATAAAGAGTTAAAACATTTATTTTTTATTATTAATAATTATTTATTATTAATAATAAAAAATCTCTTTATAAACAAACTCCGTCTCTGAGATTTATTTGAACCTGGATTCAACAGGAAAACAACAAAGAAAATTAACGTTTTCACTACAAAAATTGTATTATTTTGAATTTAGAACTGATGCTACGTTCTCCAAAAATGTTGGGATGACGTAATGTATGAACATTTGTCTCTTTTTGAATGTTTTAAATGTATGTATTTGAAGCTCCTTTAATTCTGCAGAAAAACTGTAGAAATACTTTACTTGCAGTGTCTCGCTGTGACCACTAGAGGGCAGCGTGCGCCTTGAGCTGCACAGGGCTGCTAACAGCTGTGACTGAACACAGTGAACGCACACATTTTCAGTGTTTATTTCTTTCAAGTCATTCACATAATAAATAAAAAAAAAATAAAAATAAAAAAAATAAAACACAAACGGAACAGTGGCTGAAGTAGCTTGGCTCTGCTGGGATGAAATGGAACAGGCAACATTAGTGTGTGTGTATTATTTGGCAGGACTCACGTGTGAGTGTGTGTGTGAGTGTGTGTGTGTTTAAATAAAGCTGCCTGCTATTCAATAACACAGCTACAAGAAGAAAAACGGATTTAAAAAACCAAACATCTAAAAGCGTACAAAAACAATTCCAACACACACACACATCTACTTCGGCAAACACACACACACACACACACACACAGAGAAAACTCTGCTGTTTACAAAGAAAAACTAAGTCCAAAAAATCAATCGGAGGATTTACTAACATGCAAAAAAATTTTTTTAAAAACCTCTAAGCTGTGTTTTTATTTTAACAGATTCAACGTCACTGAATGTCGTCCCACATGGTCCAATCACGACCAGGTTCACTGGTCCAACAACGGAAAAGACCAGTTCTAACAGTAACAGGTCTCTGCTGATATTTATTGGACTGTTATGAATTCATTTAAACAAAAAAACACCCTCACGAACATGAGTCCATTATTATAAACAAAGGTTAAAACCCAGTTAGCATGTTACGCTAAGAGGAGTCCTGTGATGGCCACCAACTCTTTAAAGAAAATGGACGTAACCTTGGGAGAATTTCACACTGCAGCTCAAGTCCCATATTTTAATCTGAGGGTGTGGATGATGAGATTATAATCTGAATTGGACCTCCGTCAGAACAGTCTGCGACCCTGAGGTGACCAATGTTCTTACACCATGTTAGAGGTGTAAGAAAATATCAAAGACTTAAATATCACAATATTTCCTTTCCTGATGCCGTATCAATCTCCTCCATCATTGATTATTGATTTTTTTTTTCACCAATTCCCAGTCCAATATTCCTGGTGTTGGTTCATTTTCTTTTTCTTTTCTTTCTTCTCTAGTGATTCCAAATGTAGATCCCTCTGTTCCAGAGTTAGGAACTGATGTTCAGATGGAACAGAGTCTGAGACTAGGATCACACTCTGACTACAGTTACATTGGTTGAAAAAAAAAATTTAAAAAAAATCAATATATCATTGTACCTATAGTATCGCAGTATATCGCAATATATCGTATCGTTGCCCCTGTATCGCGATACGTATCGTATTGCCAGGTTCTTGTCAATACACAGCCCTAGTACTGTATGTGTGGTACTTTTAAAATCAGGGGAAGAATATTAACGTTACACTCAGCCCAGCAGAGACGGCAGCAGTGAAACGTGAACCTGTTAGTTTTTCTGTTCCACTGTTCGGTGTCTCTCTGTCTAATGAAGTCTCACAGCCTTATTAGGACGTGACTCTCCTCTTTATAAACTGATCTTAGAGCAGAGGTTTTATCAAGTAGGAGGGGAGAGGGGCAGGGCAAGTGTATCATAATTTCAACATTTTTTTTTGATCTACAAGGAGGAAGTCAAACTGATCTGTAATTTTATTTCCTCTCTGCGATGAGAACAGCAGTTCTGCAGGAGTCACCGAGTTCAAAACAAAGTTCACTTCAGTTTAGCAAACGCTCCTGTCGTGGGTGGAGGGAGACTGGCTGTGGGGGGGCAGGGGGGGGGGGGCGGGTTGTCATATTTACAACAGAGAGGCTGTGCAGGAGTGAGTCAGAACCAGTGTCTTGGCTGAACACTGAGGTTTTTTTGTGCTGGTGAATTTTTTTTTATTGCTGGTTCTACTGTGGAACTTGAAGAGCCAAATATTTTCAGAGGTGGTACCTGGAGAAAATACCACGGAAGTACTTCAAATGACCAACAATGTCAATAAACGTTTTCTTCAGAAGAAGTACTTCAAACAATGTCAATAAACGTTTTCTTCAGAGTCCTCCCCCCCACACACACACACACACACGGGTCCCTAGCTGTAGAACACTGTGTCGGTTGTTTCAAACTGAGGGCCGCTGATCCTGTTTAGAGGAAATGATTAGATAAAGCACAACACCTAGCTGTAAATACATGTGTATGAACGCAGTGACATCACGAGCCTGAATTTCTCGACATGTTTTTAGTGGAATTCACGCTGCAAACGAAGGTAGTTCTGAAGGTAGGAACAAGGACCAAGCCAGTACCAAAACCACAGACAGAAACACAGTGTCTGTAACCCAAAGGCTGTGTCCATTTCTTTTAAACAGTCCCTAGAACTGACACTTTCTGTGTCCATTCACCTGTTAAATGTGCCATTAGTCAAAAACAACAACAAACTCACTGAGAAAACGGTTAAAAAAAAAAAAATCTTTGAACGCACCCAAAGCAACCTGCAGTACTAAAAAGTTAAATCAAAGGACTGGAATTTAAAAGAAAGACTAAATGACTTTGAAGTTCTATTATTAGGAACACTGGATTCTACAGGATTCCGTTCAGTCCATCCTCTCCACAGTCCAGTGTTAAAAAGCCTGAATTAACACTCACCGTTGAATTCAGATCACAGGAAGGTTATGAAAAGATGAACACTTTCTTTCTAGACACGAGGAAAAAGTTCTTGCACCCTTCAGAAAGTTCCCGTCTTCTTCTCTCCGAACAAAGTGGTCTGAAGAACTCACCGACACCAGTCCCTGGACTCTGATCAGCACCAGGAAACTCAAATGTGGGGTTTGAATTAGAAAATAAATACAAAGACACATGTTGAACAGCAGGCAGACGGAGGGGGAGGGGCTTAAGAGCAGCTCCTCTGAGCAGTGTTGTAATCCTCAGGTCTAGGACTCGATCGTTTGTGACCCGGCCTGGAAACCCTGGAAGATCCACTTGGACTGAACCTGAACCTATTTTTCTTTTTCGTGGCTTGGCCTCTGACTCGGAACTTTCGGGACTCAAACTGGACTCAAACTTCTCTTCTTGGTCAATAACTCTGACTTACACTCGTTGTAACTAACAAGAACTTTTTTTAAAGAAAATCAATACTAGCATTTTCTGACTCGACCAAGTTCTTGGTCGCTCGTTTACTTTGACTCAAAGCCGAGGGACTCAGAACCTGAACTAACTAGAAACACTGGTGTTTTGACTTGGGGAACCTGAACTAGAAACACTGGTGTTTTGACTTGGGACGTCCAGTGGTGATTGGATTTGAACTCAAACATCCATCTTAGGAATTCCACTTGGGCTCAGAGGTGAAAATCAGCCAGATCTTGACTGAGTGGTTTGGTCAGTGACCTGTTAGCTCCAGGGTTTTTTGTGGACTTGACTTGTTCTTTGGTGAGCTGTACTCAGACTTGGACTCAAACACATAGGACTTGGCTAAAACACTGCATCTTTGGCACACAGGGACAGGTCAGAGGTCACCCACGACACGTTTCCTTCTCACTGGCAGCACCAAGGTAGGAGCTGAAGAGCTGAGTTTGTGATGTTTCACTGCCAGTTTCGGCACAAACGCCGGTCAATTTCCATTTTGTTTCTTCCTTTCCTCCTCATTAATGGCAACCCTGTCCACAGTCTCAACATCTCAGACCTCACTCACAGGCAGGTCAGCATCATCCAAGTCCAGAGGGGTTTCAGGCATGTGGGGCTCGAAGCTGCTCCGCCTCCGCCACGGTGACTCCTCAACCTCCAACGTGGTGACAGGGGCCACGGGAGGCACACAGGGCGAGGGCGTCACTTTGCCAGGCGCGTCTCCTGCAGGGACAGGCGTGCCTGCGAGTGGCCGCGGCTGGGCCGCGGCAGCAGGCTCATGAAGTGCTCGCTGTCCCACGCCAGGCTGCGGGCGTGTGCCGCACGTGACAGCAGCGCCCCACTCTGGGAGGCATGGTGGCACGGTAGATATGGGCGAGCGAGGGGCGGGGGGACCCGGGTGGCTGCGGTAGAAAGTGGAGCGACTGCCGTGTTCCTGCCGCGGAAAGCGTGAAAGCAGGTTGACGGTTCATCAGTAACCAGAGTGAAATCCTAAAGAGGATTAAGGCGAAAAATATATATATGAAAAAAGTTAATTACAGACTTGGAAGTACCACCAGTAGGTGGAGCCTGGTGCCATTTATAGGAAGAAGAAGCTGGAGTATGTAGCATTGCAGGAGAGTGTAGGAGGTGGTTGGAGCAGAAGTAGTAGTAAAAGTAGTAGTAGTAGTAGTAGTACTAGTAGAAGAAGTAGTTGTAGAAGAAGCAGGACTAGTGGGCGCTGTGACAGCGGGTTTTAGTTATGGTAGTTATGGTCTCAACAGGTTACAGTGGAGGAGCAGTGTCTAAGGACGCAGCGGTTGGTTGGTGCAGGTTATTTCACAGCTTTTCACTCTCAGATTTTAATCTCTGAAACACAAAGGAGAAGAATTGAGACGATGGAGAGAAAAAAAAAACCCAGCTACGGTGGAGAGGAAGAGGAATTTAGTATTGGTCGCAGAAAGGTCACGCTGATTAAGCTATGGTGAAAACTCTGGTACTAAACCTGCTCTACGTAGATCACTCTGTTCCAATGTTAGTAACCTGGTGTTAAGATGGAACAGTAATGACAGTTTGACTACAATTAAATTGTTGAAAAAAAAAAAAAAAAAAACCCAATATATCTCCGTGCCTATATATAGCAGTATATTGCAATATATCGTATCGTTGCCCCTGTTTCGCCTGATTCATTTGCAGCTGTCTTGTTCTAGTCAACACATCTGCACAAAACCATGAAAAGCGTCTTTTTGAGACCTTGAACTTAACGTAAACTCACTGTCTGTCTTCATGCTAGAAACTTAAACATTGCACCAACAAAGTATTGAGTACATCAATGTAGTAACAGGTTTATCGTTAAAGTCTGTGCAAACAACAAGAGAGAGAGGAAAAAAAAACCCAAACATACAGGCAGCGGACAGGAGGGAGGAGAAGAGACAGGCAGGATGTCACACATCTAAGACAGGTACACAGCTGCAGCAGACTGCAGAGACGACAGAGCACGGAGGGGGAGAGAAACACACGGTGTGAAAGACAACAGTCACCAGAAATACACACAGGAGGAAAAAAAGGGTACCTGTGAATACACTGATCAGGAATTACAAGCGCACGGTGCTGATGGGTAATTGACTGTTCAGAAACAATAGCATATTTGCGCGAATAAGCAACAACGAACGTTAAGTCGCAGAAAAGCTACGCAGCCAAAGCCATGGAGGAGGAAAAAGAGGAGGAGCGGGGAAAAGTGGCTGCAGATATTCCTGTGAAATGTTCTGATTTTTGGTCATCACATACGCAGATGATATCATTATGTTTAGACATTTAGGATTTATATAATGAATGGATGGCGCCGGCTGGAAAAAGGTCACGAGCTCTTGACTTGACTGCTAACGTTCAATCAACTCGTGTCACTACGTGTAACTGAACAGCCAGTCTATGATCAGGCCTGCAGTTCCCAAAAATGAACACTAGGTTTTACAAAAGAAGACCTGAAAGTAGCATTTGACAATGAAATAATTAAAATCATGGACTTTTAATGATGATAAAAGTCCATGAGGGGTTTTCTTTCCAAATCTAGCATTTGGACCTTTTCTCCATGGCTACAAAATATTGTGTTTGATTTGAGTTTCCATGCTTGTGCTGAAAGTCACATGCAAAAGAAGACAAAGAAAACACTCGTCCAGCCTCACAGGCGTCTTTTCTTAAATAAACTGAACCTAAACTTTCAACTAAAGTCTTCAGCTATGTGAAAAAAACAAAAAAGAAAAAAAGACTTGTGTATGAAAAACACTGAGTGGGGGGAGTGGGGTGAAGGGAGGATCATTTGTTTGGTTAACACAGCCAAATGAACTGCAGTGATGTGGATTCTCAGCCATTTTTTTTTTTTTTTTTTTAAAGACCATCAGATAAGCAGTCAGTCCTAATCTGCCCTCATGATACCTACAACCACAACGGGCCAGCCAGTCAGTGGGAAACAGTATTAAAAAAGGTGAACTTAAAAGTTTAAGAGGGGAGCGGGGGGGTTGGACGAGCTGACGTACGTGCTGCTGCACTCCCCGATTCGGGATGTATACCTCTGTATACAAGGGTTCGACAGCCGTCTGGCCTGCCGCATCTGCAACAACACAGTGCAAAGCAGGATTAGAGCAGATGGGACACATCTGCCCCACAGACTGAGGAGGAGGAGGAGGAAGAAGAAGAGGGAATAAATAGAAAAGGAAAATCAAGAGAACAGGCACAGAAAGGGAGGGAGAGAAGAAAAAGAGGGGCAGAGGAGATCAGATAGGGGGCGGTAGAGAAACCAGACACAACGCTGGTTTCTTTGTGGAGACTGTGGAGACAGTTACCTGCCCAACTTTTCAAAGGCTAAACTCAAAACGGTGGAAAAAAGACATTTGTTTCATGTGACGCTGAAATTTGACAGAAGTGATAAAAGAACTCGAGGGTCATCTAGAGGACCTGCAAATAGGAAAAACTATCAGTACGGGGGACGTGGTGGAGGCTCCAGGTAAGGACCACAACCTGGGCTGTTTTGGTGACTGGTACCACCACCATGGTGATCAGTGACAGAACTCAGGACCATTCTCCCTTCACCTTTTTCTGTACGTGTATGTGTGCAGGCATGAAACAGTGTCACATCATCAGAACTGGACATGCATGCACGGATGAGTCTGTTGACCGGTCACGATGATTGGACGTTGGGTTTGATGAGTCTTTCTCACACAACATACATGCAAAACCTCCAGACGCGCGGCTCCATTCAGGGTTAGGGGTTTCTACTGTCAGTTATGGGATGTGATTATAGTCTGTGATACATACTGTGGCAGCAGACCGCCCGGGCCCCCGCTGGGCTACGATGGCCCCTGAGACGGCTTTGATCCAGCTGTGCATCTCCTCTGGACTGTCGGCCTGATGTTGGAAAAATAAATGAATTAAATTAAATATATGGAGATTGTTTTTTTGTTTTTTTTTGGTGAGCTCACTCCTGGAAATTATATTTGAATCCCAATAGGACTGAAACCTGGGGTTATATATTAGAGGTTGTACACACCGATTACTTCCTTTTCTCCTTCAGCACGACATGGCCATTTTGTTTTTTAGCCTAATTTAGCTATTATGATTGGATTTTGTCTTGGTAAGCAATTTATTTTTTCATTAAAGCCATTTTAGTTTTAATTTTAGTGACTAATGTTTAAAATTTCAGTCACAACTCAACAAATAAATGAATACATAAAGTCAACATAATGTCTTTAGTGCAGGTTGGAATGGGAGAAAGACTAAAGTACATACATAAATAAAGTCAACATTATGACACCAAGTCCCTAGTGCAGTTTTTTTAAAAATAAAAATAGATTTCTGATAGACTGACATACAGACTGTCAAGTGTCACATGGATTAAAAAAAATAAATAAATAATAAAGTCACATTTTTTGACATACAGACTGTCAAGTGTCATCACATTTTTGACATACAGACTGTCAAGTGTCACATGAGCCAAAAAGTCGGTTTGAACCAGTTTGTCTGCCATGTGACAATCTATAGTTCAACAGAATGTGATGAGACACTTTGGAATAAAAAAAAAAAAACATTATGAAAGACTGAAGTACAAAAACAAATATGAGGAAGTATTTTTTGAATATTCATAGAAAGACTCACCTGTATGTAAAAAGTCCTCGACGTTGTGACGACTTCAAACAGATTATCTCTCATCATGATGTCACTGCACGCACAGATAAGGAGAAAAAACAGAGTCAAAGACTTGAACAGACACTCCAGGATTTCCAGAGATGATAACCGGTGCAGTAGAACTCTCCTGGACAAAAGATTGTTTTTACACAAAGGGGAAAACGTTGGGACTTGTCAAATACCTCTGTTTACACTCCTGGACTTTGTGAACTTCCTTCAGAGGGATCATTCTCAGCGGCTCTTTTTCCTGGAGGAGAGTTTCAATTAAAACAATAGACACTGACGACGACGACAAAAGAGGAAAATCTGGTGTTAAAACAATGAAAGTATTTCCTTTTTATTTTATAGGACGAAGGAGAACAGCAAACTTTCTAAAGAGGGAAGTGAGGTTCAAAGTAACTTTTGAGACCTGGTCATTTTATACTGCAGACACAGAGTCCATGTCCTTGGGGGCTGTTGATGGCCAAACACACAGATAAAGCTGTCAAATAAGGGCAGACCGCGCCAAGCACTGGGAATAGGAGGTGCACTGTTGTCTCTAACTGTGTGTGTGTGTCTGTGTGTGTGTGTGTGTGCCTACAGGCGATGAGGCATGACCAGACATGTGAAATGAGGGCAGAGAATTTCACACAGCAGATAAAACATGTCAGGACTGGCTGTTTGCTGTGGAACTCTCAGCCACAGACTGACGGGATTCAACCCTAATCCACTCCCGCTCCCCCCCGGCGGGCTTCACTTATCTCCATCAATGTTAATTACCAAATCAGACTTGAAGTAGCTCATGGAGTTCTCTTCCAGGAGGAAATATCGCCGCTTCCAGTTCCTCATCTGCGAAAAAGTTTGAAAAAAAAAATAAAGACTCATCAGAAAGAGTAAATGTGAGTGAAGTGAAAAAGTGAGTTAAATATACATAGACATACATTTATATACACAAACAGATGTAATGGAGTAATATATGTATATTGTAGTATAGTAAGTTTTTACCCTATACAAAAAAAACAAACAAAACCCCAGAGAGACAGAGAGAGAGAGGCTGGTTTATAGTAGTATGGTAAGTTTTTACCCTATGCAAAAAAAACCCCATTAGCACAGAGAGAGAGAGGCTGGTGAAACTGTAGTTAGTTCAGAGATAATACAGACTGTTTTACAGTCACCTGTTTCAGCTTCTGGGTGTTCATTAAACACTGTAACTGCCTCTACTTAATTATTGACACCAGTGCATCAGAACTGAACCGGACGTACAGTGAGAGTCGACCTGTTACTGGAGACTGAATAATAACATCCTAAAGTGTCTCAACCGTCGGGGCGCCTCTCATTTTATCAACATCTGAGGTCACTATAGTCCATAGGTTTAATTCCTCAGGAGGTTTAAGTGCTAAACTCATTGGCCATCTCTGCTGAAGTCGGCTTCATTTTGGTGATGGAGTGGTTACATGACGCCCGACTAAAAATGTGAGTTTTTTTTTTTTTTTTTTTTACTTACTTTTCTATTCAGGGGTTAAATACACATCTGCACTGGGAGGTGGTAAAAAGACAAATTATATTCTTCCAGGAAACACCAATAAACTACTTCCTGTCACCCGCAAATTACCAATTTGTTCTAAATTTTAACCCTTTCAACTCCTTCTCAGTAACAACCCCCTCATCGTTCGTGGACAGTCTTCCAGGCTCTCACCACGGCTCCTTGTTTGACACAGTATCCTGACTTGATGACGGTGTGTTCCTGAGCGGGTCGACTCAGGAAGTACGGCAGCTGGCTGTGGGAGCGATGCATGGCGTCGCGCTCCGCTCTGTCTGCCCCATCACCGGCGTCGTGCTGCGGACGGAGAGAGGCACAGACGTTATTAAGTAAGAGTTTAATCCAGAGTGAACATGATTATCAACCACAGAAAAATTAGCTGGGTTTTTTTTTAACTTTCTGGTTAACACCCAACGATCAAGAAAAGTGCCGGGGGGGGGGTTCCCCCGGGGGAAGGAGTTTTTTTGGTTCTTGCAACTGCAACGGCTTTCTAACCACAATAACACAATTAAATGTACATATTAATAAAGCAGAGACTATGTGAGACACATGTGGTTAACGACCGTGATACACCTGGTTCACTGATTCACACCGTGTTCTGCTTCACCTGTGTCTGTGTGACGATGGGAACTCCTCCAATGATCTCCGTCCTGTAGGAGATTTGTTTCTTGGTTCCAACGACATCTGGGAGAGACCTGTTGTTCTCAGATGTCTGCTGGCCTTCACAGGTTTTCGGCACCTTAGAGACACACACATAAACACACACACACAGATCAATAACAAACCTGTGGAATGCTCACGAATCGGTGGGAATAAAAACAGTGACAAGGAGATGTTCGGGTGGAACTTTTCCACAGAAGAAGGCAGAGAACGTGACAGACTTTTGACATGTTTCATATTTACTTCCTGTCATTAAGGAGAACAATGTAAGTGGTCCTTATCTCAGAACCAAATAAAACAATTCATCTTCCTGTTAGTCAGACTCTGACTCAAAAAGCCTATTCATTCATATTCACACTCTGAGGAAAAAAATCTGAACATCTCTCGGACCAACGAATGGAGCTGAGAAAATTATGAGCTCCAGAAATGAGTCAACGTTGAACTGAAAGATTTGTGCTCCTGGACCGGCCTGTGTGTGTGTGTGTGTGTGTGTGTGTGTGTGTGTGTGAATAATCATCTTACAGTGATTTTTGTGGCCTTGTTAAGAGCGTTGACCCAGTCCACCAGGTCCTGCTGATCATTGGCCTGCAGGAAGAACTTCCTCATCCCTGCATTGATGACTAATGGAAAAGAAACAGTGGGAACAGTAAAAGGGTGAAAGTATATTCAGCCGACACCGTGATTCATAACCAATCACCAAAGACTAAGACTCAGATGTTTCTCTGGAACTAAATCGACTTTCCCTTTGATGACTGTTCAGACATGTGCTGTGAGCTACGACACCAGAGCTAACGTTAGCTACAACAGTCCTGGTACAGACACCAGAGCTAACGTTAGCTACAACAGTCCTGGTACAGACACTAGAGCTAACGTTAGCTAGACAGGCTTAGACAGGGTTCAGAATCTAATGTATTTGAATGTTGACTATAACTGCTGTAGGTTTGTAGTAATCTGTGACTGTAGTAGACTGATGAAAAACGTTTTCTTACCAAAGCAGAATTCAGCCTTGGGCCTCAGCTTGGTGGCATCACTGACCTGGAGGGGAATAGAATTATTGCTAATTAATTTCTGTTCATCATAGGCAAATAAGATAATCCCAGTTTAAGGAGAAGTCCCGTGTCAGATGATTTTTTTTTGTACCTTGGAGATGTAGGTGAGTTTAAGGGAACCAACACAATCTGCACCCACAGGCAGGTTCTGTGGAAGCAAAAGAAACACAGTATTTAAAATCAACAGGATTTACTGGTCGACTACACGAACTCCACCGACACCGTGAAGTTTAGGTATTCCAGATTAACGCTGTGATTCTGAGGGTCAGTCAATCCAGATTCAACCATCATAATATTTTAGAAAAGGAAATGTATGAACTACCAAAGTGTGGAATTGATCCCACAACCCTCCTGTAATGATGTAAGAAAACTGCACTACCCACTATGACACAAAGAGGAGACGGATTTTGAGCAGTCGTCTCAACAAACAAAAGGCCACAATTATGACACAAAGAGGAGACAGATTTTGAGCAGTCGTCTCAACAAACAAACAAAAAAATAAAATGATTTATAATGAAATGACGGCCCATTAACTTGAAAGGTTTGAATAAGTATTGCATTATTTATCCTCACTTCTTGCCAACAGTGAGACATTGAAAAATTAATGTGTCAGAAATGTGTAAAGAAGTTGGAGCCACAACTGAAGTGTCTGATAGGATAAAAAAAAATAAAAATCTGAATTTTCATTTTCTCATTCTAACAAAAATAAAATATTTTTTTTCTGGCCGTTTGAATGATGTATCCTGTCAACTCCAAACTAGAAAAATAAAATCCTGATACAGACAGATAAACCAGGATAGATGTAACTTTGTGGGTCGTGTCTTTATGCTCCAGTTCCTGGGACACATCACAGCTTTGTCACCTGTTTCCGTTCCGTCCTAAACACTTGTCTGTTCAGTGTCCACAGCTCTGAGCTAAGCTAGCCCTGACCACTGTGATTTACCTGTGGGTTGTCCATGAACCACACCAGGCTTCCCAGCTGTGTGTCCAGGATGAAGTAGCGGCGCAGGAACTTGCCGCTGCTTTCATTCTCCTCAATGTCCAGGAAGCCACAGATGCGGTTCTGTCGGTCCACGTAAGGCATCTCGCCGCCGGGACATTCCCTGGTCTGCTGGGGCCCGGAGTGTTGCTGAGCAAGGGCAAATCAGAAGGGGGAGAAAAAATTTTTTTTTTTTTTAAAGGACAGGAGCAAAAGAGTGTGGAGAGAAACAGAATATGAAACAGTTTTTCAAACAGTCTCTGTGCCACCTGGACTTCACTCGGCTGCAGCCTGCACCAGAACATGTGACACAAACCACAACCCCGCCTTTACCCTTTTATATTAGCCTCCCTCCCTGCCTCCCTCCCTCTTCCTTGTAACACATGCTCTTCTCTGTCACCCTCTTTTCTAACTCCTCCACCCACTGACTCTTGTTCTTTCTTTTCTCCTGCAGGACTCTCCACCCAAACGCTCTCTCGTCTGATTTGGCAATCCTCTGTCCAGCCCCCTGCTGTTGTCCCCTCCCTCCTACCACAGCTGAGCAAAAAAAGAAAAAAAAAAAAAAAAAAAAAGAAACACTAAGCTCAGCCATGTTTACCAGAGAGACAACATGAAGAGCCTCAGGAGCTACATGGGAGAGAATGCTGCAGGAGTTTGATCAGGATGAACCTGTTTAAGGCACGTTGTAAAGCAGCCCAGAGTCGGCGTCAGCGTCAGCTCGCTGTGACATCAGCCTGTTTAAGCGCTGACTTTTCAGACAGATCTGAAATATGGGAGGGTGAGAAGAGTCTGTTCAAGGTCGATGATAAAGAAGCTCTTTCTCCATGATGTTATGAGGGCCATGTGGGTGGATGCAGGAGATGGGGGGGTGCCAAATCACGGACAAAAGGCCCGGTTGTTGTCCACCGACTGTGTGCTGGGAGCATCTCAGTCGAGACCCTGCACGGACCGGCGTCATCCCGCTTCACACACAGGCTCCAAAGGAGGAGCAGCGCCGTCAGAGGCGACAGTCTGAACACTACACAAACACCGATTGTCATGGAACAGTCAGAGAAGCCTTTGTGGAGTTTACAGATCTGTGTGTGGGAGTGTGTGAGTGTGTGTGTGCGAGTGTTTCAGTGCAGCAGATAAACAGCAGGAAGATCAAGGTGAACAGGCGTCACTGTACAGTTCATAACCAAACACGCCGTAGGTATTGACAGTAGGTGTGTAAGAAAATATCGACACACTGTCGTATTGATATTCTACAGCTATGTATTGATTTTTTTATTAACAGTTAACAGGCCAATTTTCATGCTTTAGTTTATTTTGTGTTGCATTTTAAACGTCCGACCATTGGTTGATTGTACAGGTACTGCATAAATTTTAGTCTTTTTTTTTTTACTTGATATTAAGTGTGTAGCGTCATTGTGTGTTTACTACGATGACAGTCTTAGATTGCCGTGCCTATAGCATCGCAGTATATCCCAATATAACGTAACGTTGCCACTGTATTGCGATACATACTGTATGGCCAGATTCCTGCCAATACAAACATATTTCACAATAATTGTGACAGTAATAATAATAAAAAAAAGTTAAAATGTTTTTAGGGTAAATAAACCTGTCCAGCCCAGAGCCTTAGGCTGTTTTGGTTCACTGTCCTCTCTGTTACTGAGATGTTTTCAGCCACAACACACTGGTGTTTTCAGCAAAATAATCTCAACAGTACAAGATGAATTAATGGTCTGCAATAAAATACAAATTTACCACAGCAATGTTCATTAAACTCAGGAGTCAATCCCAGAAGTCCATGTGTGAGGGCGGGGGGGGGACACCCTGGACAGTTGACCAGTCCATCCGAGGGTCACATCTTAAAGTCACACTAACTGACCTTATTCTGCCCTTGGAGGAACCCCACACACAAACTGGGACAACGTGTAAACAACCGCTCCAGGTTTTAGCCCAATATTTTACTGTTTCTCAGATTTTTTTTTTCTTAATTTCTACGTATGAAAAAAATGTCGAAATGTTTGTTTGAGCACACCACGTACTCATCGGTATGTGCTTCTTTGTCCAAGAAACTTTATTTCCAAAGACGTTTTGTTCTTCCAGCAAGTCATTAGTACATGTTTGTTATTCACAAAAATATATTTTCCTGATTGGAAGGAGAACCTGCAAAACTGCAATCTTTGAAATAACACTTGGCAGAGTAACTCACCCTCTGTCTCTCAGAAGTAATCAACCCTAATTATATTTAGATAGTTTGGTTTGTTTAGTTAATTCTAGAAGCTGCTCAGGTTGTTCTGCTGCTCAGGGCTCTTATCTAAGACCGGACTCGAACCCGAGTCCTTCTGTATCAGTGATCCAATCAGCATCCAACTGATCTAAGTTCAGTTCCGTTTTTTCAAAAAACAACAACATTGTGTTTCTGAATGGTGCCTTTGACCAGGACAGAAGGTGACAGAATGTTACAGTGTTTTCCTGATGATACAGTCTGAATCAGAGAACACTCTGAATGTGGTCAGACAAGGAAAACGAGATAAAAGTTGACTAGCAGAAACGTTCGCCCTGGTAAAGAGTGCACACTTGGTGAAAGGCATTTGTTCACCATCACGTAGCAACCAACTGGTCACACAGAGCCGGCCATAAAACATCAGTAAGCAGCAGCTGTGGAGCTGATTATTTCACTGCTCATTATCTGGAACCAGCGACACCGTCTTACAGTAACAACAGCTGGCAGTCAACACAGCAGGAGAAATGTGTCTCACCGAATGTCCTCCACCACACGAACAGCTGATCAGTTATGTAGGTGTCAATGTCAGGACAAAACAAGATCAACACCCAGAGGGAGAATATCTGTTACTGAGGCCTTATTGATCAGCACCATATACTGTAAATGACAGCCTGCAATGTTGTTCCCTTCATGCAAGAGTTTAGTTACTATTCACAAATAATTATCAAAAAACTCTTACAAGATAACTTCTTTAACAACAAACGCAAAGAATCCAGTTCTGCTACAGTAAAACTACTATTTTTTTTTCATTTTAGTTTCTATATTATTTGTTATCTGTATTTTTTTTAAATCATTTTAGTTTCTATATTATTTGTTATGTATCAAATACTAACCACAGTGGAAAGACTTGCAAAGTCAACTTGTCAACTTAATAAACTGTGTCAACTGTAAGAATTACACCGAGTTGACCTGAGTCATGTTCACACCTCTGCGAGTTAACAGATTTACAAGTATCAAATTATCATTAGTCAAACCGTGTGTCAAAAGTTGGGCTGTGGAAAATGAACGCGTTGTCATTACCATCATGACTGACTTGAATACATTCAACTCTAAAAATATTGACGTGTATTTTTTTCATCATCGTAATAATTCCAATACTCAGATCGGTCTCAAATAAAACAGCTGTGATGCACAGACATCTTCCTGCTGTTTTTAGTCTTTCTGCTAACGCATTAAAAAGAAAAAAAAAAAGGCCAAATTTAGGAATATTGATTTACTTCAATTACTCATGATCAATCCTGATTATTCCACAGTATGATTAATCATTAGTCCGGTGATTAATCAAATTAGAATTTAACTGTTTGACATCTCTAGTTAACAGAGAATAAATACACAATGCAACACTAGAAGTGCAGAAGAACATCTTCTTAAAGTTGATTACACAGACTATGTATTATTATGGTATGTTTATTATTATGACGTACACATAGATAAATATTCGTAATTTGGGCATTTAGAAAAAAATCTGATCGAGATATTTTGTAGATTTTTTATCAGACAATTTGACAAAGGTCACAGATAACCCAGGTCGGTCGGTTCTTTTCGGATGAAAGCGTTAAAGTAATTTCTGCTCAGATTCCGGCTCTGACACGTTTGACAGTCATGGTTTCTGTGATCCTGCTGTTCAAGAACGAACAGTGAAATGCACCACAGCTAATAGTTAACCTGCAGAACCGAGGGTTGAGTCACTGTAAGAACATTTCTGTCTTACAGACGACGAGGGGAAAAAAAAATCTAGCACAACACATAAATACCACTCCTGTTAGCAGAAAGGCAAACTTTGGCCTGAAGTTAACTGAGCTCAGGCTAGCCTGTATTATAAACCCGTTGCTACTTCATACCAATGATGATTACTTTCCATTTAATACACAATAACAACGGGCATTGGTGACTATCAACTTTTTCACGACTGAATATGTGTGTCGCTGCGGAGACTCGTTTTCACGCACGATCCACGTTAACCATGCTAACACTAGCAAACTCGCTACAACTCAGTCGAGTCAAATCTGACAGCTAACTTTCTCTGTACGGACTAATGACACATTTTTCCTTACAGCTAAGCGCGTTTTTTCTTTTTATTTCTCATTCTTTAGACAAAAACAACCTTACCAGTCTTCTCTTTTAGCTCGTAGGCTCCGTTGTGTCGTAAAGATTCGTCCTCACTGTCTCAGCCCATCTCCGCAGATGCAGTACGCTCGGATTTTTTTCTCTCCCTTAACCCAGTTTACATTGAGCCACGCCCACTTCCGTATATAGACCTGACGCAGCTACGCATTTGACGTTGACGCTACCGAACCGTAGCGGTACGTCAACGTAACTGCCGTATTGGCTCTGGGCCACAGTTGTCTGTATGGTTTCTGTTTTTTGTGTGTAATTACAGGGTGATAATGGATGTTGTGCTTCATTTGAGAAACAGTTTAAATTTAAAATGTTATTTCTGACGGACATTCATATCTGCGTCATTGTTTACTTCTCATTTAGCTGCTGTTATCGATATTAACTTCTATATTGTTTATATATTTTGGTGATTCAGAATCAACCTTTAGATTTTAGTTTTTCTTTGTATGTAAATCCAAAATATACAGCCCTGTAGTTTAATCATTAATGGTGTTTAAACTCAATAAATCGACCCTGGGTATTTTCTATCTTGTGATACAGTATTGCTGTATAAAAACATGACAATTGTGGTAGCATTTAGTGACCTCTGCTGGTCACTTTTGTAACTACAACAAATACTAATTCATAGTTTTCACTTTTGGTAGAATTAATAGATAATAAGCGAAATATTTAAAACAAGAATAACAAAATACTTTCTATTTTCTACACCGATTCTCTTCTGTATATAATTACACCAAGACGGGGTTTTCTTCTGTATATAATTACACCAAGACGGTTCCGTACAGGCTATAAGGCAGATTTATATAAGTGAAAGAAACAGGTTCAGCAATTACTCAGGCATTTGGCATGTTCATAATCCTCCTCTCAACCGTCAGGCCATAATTTGAAGAAAAGAAAAAAAAGGAAGAATGAATGAGCTATCACTCAGGTAACCTGTACGTCTGTCTGAGGAGATGGGCGTCGACAAAGACAGGAAATAACACTCTCACTGCGGAGTACAGGCGGCGGTGCAGTCGGCTGTGACTGCTGTGACTGATCATGGCTCCAAAAGAAACGAGGTTCCTGTGAAGTTCTTCTCACATTGGTCTAACAGAGTAACAAGTGACCATGGGAGAAGAGTCGGACACTTACTCGGAGTTGAGGCACTTAACCCCGCTGTGGCCTCTGCCCAGACTGCGCTCTCTCAGTGACACCTCCGGATTTCGCTCCAAAGTTCTGCAGCGGCTGCGGGGAGCCCGCTCAGGTAGGACGGATTTTCACAGATCCTGAACCTGAAAAACGGACACGGTTTGTTTTTCAATTTGAATGCATTGAATTGGAGTTTGCTGAGTTTCAGCATGGCGTCAAGGCATTTCTGATACATCAATCATGTAGTTTTGGTGCTGCGGGTTCTACCAGTTGCTCGAGGCCAGATCTGCAACAAGTAGATCTGCAACAAGCTTCAGTCTGTCTCTGTGACTCTGTTTATACAAAAATAAAACAACAACTAGTGTCTATTTAAAAACCTATAAATTTAAATTGATTGATCAATGTGACAACTCAGACAAAACTGAAGAATTTTTACAAGTGGGTAAATGAATTAAAGTGAACACTGGTTACTCTGGTTTACTCCTATGGTCCTAAAACCTCTTACCTGGTCATTGGTGTGAAAGTGAGTGTGAACTTTAGTGTGTAAAAGACCACACTCCATTGAAATAAATTCTTCTTTTCCTTGTTCCACTGAATGAATGACGGCCTCTTATTGTTGTTTACCTCAGTCAGACTTGTTTATCTGCCTGGTGAGGTTCACCGCAGCAGGACTTTGGCTGCTGCCGCTCTTTTTTTTTGTTTCTCAGAACCATCAGTTGCAGGTCACACTGTAGTTTGGTGCCTGGGGCCTTGTGCTGCTGAATGCCAACTGACATTCTTGTGTGATGTGCGTCAGTAGTTTGAACCACTTCCCATCAGCCACCTTTAGCATTTTCGTGTGCTCTTCTGAAACTGCACGCCTACACCACCTCCTGATTTAGCACAGCAGGCGTGACATTTATCAATAGACAGTTGGGTGTTTTTTTTTTTTTTTTTTTAAAACAATGCTTCTTGTTTTCTATGTCCTAATTAAATGATTACGCGACATGAAGTTGTTGCTTTTCTGGTCCAAAGATGAAAAGAGGAAATGATGTGCTTATCTGGTTACGTTTAATGGCAGGAAATAATCATGATTTGGACCAGTTAGGAAATTAGATGTCCAGACTTGTTTATGTCTCCGGTCCGTGGAGATTTTAAAGAAATCTGGATGAGTAACCCGACCTAATTATATTGAAAATACATTTAAAAAAAAAAAGAAACAACAGATGAGGAGTTAACACCTCATCAAGTTCATTTGTTTATTGAAACAAATTAATTTACTGATGTCTCCTGGTTTATTTAATATTTCTATTTAATTTATCTTTAGTTTTATAGATAGTATTAGTATTTTTTTTTTGTTTTGTTTTTTGGCTTAGTGTCCTAACTGTGGTTTTTTTACTCTCTCTCTCTCCCCACATCACCCACAGAGCTGTGTCATCTATACGTTCTATCTTCCAATTTTGCATAATTATAAAAGCAAAGCTCAACAGTGTATTGGTGAAAGAACAAAAAGAAGCTACTTTTAATCACATTCATTCATTCATTCATTCATTCAGTCAATATATATATAAAAGTCACAGTTCTGGAAACAGAGCAGTTAGTGAAACAAACAATAGAGGGAGCCACCTACCTGTGACACAGTCTTTGTTTCAACGTCAGATTCAACGTCACCTTAAAGTTTAAGGTGTCAAATTAAGTCAAATAAAACTGTAGATTATTATTGTCATTTGCCTTGAACTAAAAGAGAACCTAAAACCATTATAACTGTTAACTGTGTAATGTTTTTATGAACTCCAGGTCAGTGTGAAAATCCCACAGACCAACACAGAGCTTTTCGATTGAAAATATAAAATACAAGAAAATCAAAAACATTGATTCTGATGATGGCGTTTGCACATTGATGTAGCCTATGTACAGACATGTGGACCACACTGATGTAGCCTATGTACAGACATGTGGACCACACTGATGTAGCCTATGTACAGACATGTGGACCACACTGATGTAGCCTATGTACAGACATGTGGACCACACTGATGCAGTAGCTGAGATACATTTGATTTTGTGTAAATGTGCACGAAAATGTACATCAATATGTGAGTATAAAAATATAAATTTCTTTTGGGTTTTCGTGTAGGTTATAAAATCAAATGAATTAATTATGACAAATTATAATAATTAATAATTACAAAATAAGAAAGTAAAGAAACTTGTGGCTGATGTGAGGGTAAAATGAGAAAAACTAAGAATTTTTTTAAATAACATATTTAAATCTATATTTTTTTTTAAATCAATAAGTAAACAAAGAAAAAATCCTAGAAGCAAATCAAGTCAAAGTGAGAGAAAGAGCAGAGAGAGAGGAGATTTGGAGAAAATCTTAACCAGGAGGTGGTGATTATGGAGGCTGTGGAGGAGAACGGTGTCAGTGCACGACTCTTCTATAGTCACTGTCCTCCAAATAACATTAATTACACACGCTTCAAGTTCACAACAACTACTTGTCAAATGTGCTGTATNTTCAACAGCTGCTCACATGCCAGGGATTGTTTCTCCTTTGGAAATAAAACGTTCTGTGTTCTGTTCATCTGTGTTGGAGCTGGAGCTGATCCTCAGTTACCTTCAGCTGCTGCCGCACACTTATGACTCTGGACACAATTTTATATTTGATTAAAAATGCCTTTGGAACTGGAGTATTAATTAGTATTAGTATTAATTTGTTTAATTCCATTGAAAACATAAACAGAGAAAACATGGGTCACACAGGTCAGGGTCAGGGTCAGGGTCAAGGTCAGGCAATCTGGCCATGAAATGTCCCCTCACAGCTGCTGAAGTTTATCATTTTCCTGTGGAACAACAGACACGTCTGTCACCTCCACTGTTGTTCTAGAAGAGTGGTTCTCAAAATGTGGTACGCGTACCACCGCTGGTACACGAGCGCTCTCTAGTGGAACGCGGGGAAAATTCATGTTTTTCACATTTGCATTTTTCAGTTGAATAAATCTGAAACATACCACGCACAATTAATACAACATCTAAACATAAACACTTTTATAACCATTTATAAATATTTAATGTATCTCCTGTGTGGTGGAAGCCAATAGTGAAGGCCTACGCTGCTATATTCTAATGTTGGTCATCATGGTGGTACTCAGAGAGCTCAACGTTTTCTCAGGTGGTACAGAGTATAAAAAGTTTGAGAACCACTGTTCTAGAACAAACCAGATCAAACCTTAATGCCCCAGCAGTGGTAAATATCACTGGATTAAATTTTTTAAGTTTTAAATTGATATTTTCTCAAGACGTATTTTCACCGCCACAGTGTGAAGACAGAAGTGCTGTTCAAAGGAAACTTGTGTGACATACTATATTGTTGTTGTGTTGATTGTGCTGATGAAATGGAAAATACTTCTTTGTTCCTCAACAGTTCCCACATACAGGTGTAGTTTAGTCAGCATCTGTTTCAGCTATAATCCGATAAGACGGTGTGAAGGTGAAATGATGAGCCAGGTACTTTTCTTCTTCCTGCGGGTTAACGCAGCGTGTCACATGTCAAAGTCTGAACTCTCTTCTTCTTCTTCTCTGTGCTCGGTAACTTTGTTCACCTACTCCGTAAGCCTTTAACTTTGCCGTTAGCTTATTCGCTGAGAGGTCAGAGTGTGCAGTTAGTTGACGGTTTGATGCCCAGTCTACCTCTCTCTCTACTTATTATGTCTCCCCCTTTGCTCTCTATTATTTTCTCTCCCACTTATTTCTCCCCCCGTTATTCTTTCTCCCCTCTTTATTTCATTCACACTCTTCATTCCTCCCCCTTTTTCTCCGTTATCATTCCTCTCTTTCTGCCACTCATTATCTCTTCCTTTCTTATTATCTGCTGTTCTCCCCCTCTCCGTGACTCTCCCCCCTCTCTCCGGAGTAACCTGATTGATCTGCCTCTCTCTCTCCAGTGTTCTACATCAAACCTCACTGATGGCTGATATTTGCAGTGCAGTTGTTCTCCTAAGTGCCTCTCAGCTCCTCCTCTATTCTTTATCTGTATATTTAAATCCTCTCCATTCCTACCTCTGTGTGTGTGTGTGCATCAGGGAGTTTATGTCTATTGATTTATTCAGCTTTTTGATAATCACTCATGTTGTGTTTATGACCACCCCTCCTTTCTTGTCATGGTGCAGTCACTGTGGCGGCGCCACCCTGAGGTGTTTTATGTCTAAGTGTTTTTAAAAACATATAAAAAAATCTATGGCCATGAGATGATAAATGTACTTTAACTTCTCCAACTACATCATTAGGTTCAGTCACAGTCAAACTGTGCGGCAGAACAACATGAGGTCAAACTGAAAATCACTCAAAAACATCTCTATTAAGTCCTCCTCCTCTTCCTCTTCCTCCTCCTCCACTTTCTCTGTAACACCTTCATTTCCTGTCTGCATCGTTTCCTCGTCTCTCGTCCACTTCTCTACGTATTATTACGTCACCATGAAACATCACCACATTAGGAAGAGAAGCCAGAGGAGAATATCCTGATGAGGAGGAAACTGAAAAACTAGGAAGACAGAGTGAGAGACAGAGAGAGACGAGGAGGGGAGTCAGAAACCAACATTAACTTCTAATGTTCTCTCTACTGGCGTGAGCAGCAGGAGGTGAACAGGGAAGGACGAAGGGAGGAGGGAGGAGCAGACAGGGGCAGGAGAGTGACGGAGGAGGGAAGTAGAGAGCTGGAGGGAGGAGTAAGAAAAGGAGGAAGACTGTGAGAAAGGAGGAAGGGAGGGAGGGAGGCAGAGGAGTAGGGAGAGGTGGTGTGTCAGGAAGAGGCAGGGATCAGCTCACACACTGCAGCTGATCATAATAAGACCTGGGTCAAACCATGGAACATGATGGTGAGTTTCATCCTTCCTTATCATACGGCTCTGTCTGTGTCTGTGTGTGTGTTATATACCAGGACTAACACACACACAGATTTTCCCTCACACTGCCTTCATGTGTCACCTGTCAGTGACTGTGTCAGTCTGCCTTCACACCCGGCCTCCGATCAACTCTTTCGTTGTCTATCTGTCGTCGTAAGTTTGTAAAACCTTAAAGCCGGGTGGAGAAAGAGTTTGTCCGTGGCTCAGTCGGCGGCCGGTGGCGGCGGCTGTCATT